CATAAAAGTCAGTGTTAGGATTACACTAAACGTTTTTTTTTTATTATTTAACTCAAGTACTTACTCAATAATAATTATTTTTTCGTAAATATGTTTATATAAATCTTGAACTATATAACTTTTATGAAGCGGACGAGTTTCATTTAAGTGAGTAAGTACATTTATAAATAGAGGGAGTATTCTTTTTCCGAACTTGTTAGACTTTTAGAGTAAAAAGATTTTAAAATCATCTAATGGAAAACCAATGTAATGTTTCCATCGGCGATGTCGGCTCGAGTATAGAAATATGCTTTCAATGTTTCGAAGCTATTTCATTAAAAGTATAAGAAGTTGTTGGTATGTTTCAGAAGTGGGTTTTGAGATACTTTTCATTATAATTGTATTCATATGAGACAGTGAGTCAAAATGTGGTTTTTGGTAAATAGTTAATATTTATATGGAAGAATAAATAAATTTGAAAAGTTTTAATATAATTTTACGTCGAATACTAATGAAGTAAAATCTTGTAAAAGAAATAATTTTTTTATGTTACCTTTTCCGTGTATATACCAATAGCAAATGAACTGACATTTATTGTGAAAGTAACTTCCATATACGGCTTCTGATCCAATTACTTTTCGCTGATATGATGAGTTACTAACTATAATATATTTTCGATTAAAAATATATGAGTAATAAAAATATATATTATTTGGAAAAGGTTTTATTTAAAAAGAAACAACGGAGTTTTTTAAAATAAACTTTTTCATTTCTTGTCAGTACTACTTGAATGGCCGCAATAAATTTAATTTCAGCTTTATTTGTTTCAGTTAGGAGACATGTTAGTATATTGCAATAAATAAATATATAACGACTAAAAAATAATATGGTCATAATATTGTTAATAACAATGGTAGGTTTTAAAATGTTATTTTATAAATGTTTTAGTAATGAGAGGGTAATAATTGAAATTGACGACAGAAATTTACAGGATAAAAAGTTGTATCTTGTAAAAGTTACACCATTGAAACTTTTTCATTTGTTGGAATAATTTAAATTAATAAATCTTATTCAATTTAATTTTACAAATACCTAGATTGTTGAATCCTGAATATTATAACATACCTAAAACAATACCAGTTTTTTCTTAATTGAGATCACTTAGATACTACACAAACTTATTCGATACAAGAGTCAGTTGAACATAAGTAATATCTTAAAGGTGTCTCTGACTGCTGCAAAGTTTTCACTACAAACTGGCACGTAACTGTAATAGTTTGAACTAAGATTAACTCAAAATAAATCATAGAAGAATAAATAAAATACAAAATGAATTCCACAAATAGTTCCTGCTTTGTTAAATAAATTTTATATTAATTTGAAGTTGTAAAAGCTTTATATGAAATAAAAACGAGTCTTAATTAACAGATTAATAAGATCGATACAAAACTACGAAAACATTGTGTTAAATGTTGCACTTGAAAAATGTATTCAATGTTATGCTAACATTTAAACTAAAAACTGTTCTTTAAAAGTCTATTGAAGCTGATGTAAATCTATTATTAGCTTAACAAAATCCTATTGTTACCAAATATTCATTGTTCCATACATTTTTTTGATAAAAAATCACATTGCATAGAACATAATGATGTTAACTCCAAGTAAGAACTTGAAGACAACATCATTCTAAAAATATCTTAAATTGTGGATTGAAATTTGTACCATAACATTTGTATTAACAGTCTCCCTTTTTAATGACTATCTCTGTTTGGTCATATGGGGATATTTCCGTTTCCATTAACCTATAAACTAATTAGATAGTATTACGTAATCAACGATAATTCCACCCACTAAATCTTTATAGATGAGCGCTTTCTCTTAGAGGATCTTTAAATGGAATTAAATAATTGTCATGACTCGTTTTCCCAAAGAATAGACAGGTATTTCAAATTGGGTATATTAAAATAACATTGCTTGTATTTCGAGGAGAATCCTCAGAAAATAACTTAAACCCAAACGTACCGCTGTCCAACAATAAAAGTAGAAATTATTTAACAGATTTCTCATAAATAAAACATATAATAATAACACCTTAAATCGTTAAACAAAAATATTCAATTGTACAATCACATTTAATGTTCCATTAAGTTAGAAGCACCATCTTATTTGTAAGTTCCCAAGTATACCACAGGGTAATATTCACAGAACTTTACCCACCACAAATAACAGCCCAATAGTCGTAACTTCTGCTAACTGGTTAATTATAATGATAGTATAAATTACACATCGTTAATAAATGGAATCATTATTATGAACAGATATATTATCGCTTATGTTTTAAAATAATGATTTTATGAAAATCATTACCACAATTGTCACAGTTTTCTTTTAGTAAATTCAAATTTTCATCCGCTTTGGTAATACAGTATTTTATAACTTGCCGCGTTTAGTTTTTCTGTTCAATGTTGTAGAAAAAGAAAACAAAAAAGCAGATAAGAGTTAAAACCACTCGTTCAGTTTTTGTTTGCGTGTGTCACATCGTAAGTCCGTCCCTTGGCGGTTGTAAAGTTAACATGGTCACTGCGACATAAAGTAGCCTATTAGTTACCTAATGGATCCTACTTTGACTTAAAAGCGAGGTGTATACAAAAAAATTATGTATACGAGTATACATCATAATTTAAACATAATCCTAGGAGTTTCTTACATATTCAGAGTATTGATGGAATATAATATTGTGGTATTTATTATGTATTTGTTATATAATAAAACTATTTGTGATATTCATCTCAAAAAACAGGTACATATCTCACATACATTTAATATTTTTTAACTTGTCATTCAAACTTTCAATAATAAAAAATTATCTTATTACTGTATAAATTTGAATATTAAAAGTGATTTAACTCTGTTAACCTTAATTAGACTGTTAACCTCTCTTCCAATTTTTCGCAAATACTAACTTGATATTCAATATTTAAAAAAATTCAAAATGGGAGAAATATTTGTATTCGAGGAAGTTAACTAACATTTCATAATTCATATCAAGACATATGCCTTATATATTTTGGTAGTCCGACTGAAGATAAAAATGTCTAAAATAAATTTAAGAGTAAAAGTTATTATAGCATACCTATCCATATAAAAATAGATCATTTATCACTATATTATTTATATAGACAATAAAGCACTACTCTCTATTCAAAAATAATCAGCTCCTAATATGTAGACCGGATATTTCCAGGGTATAATTTATACATACCCGGTTCGTATTTTTCACCGAGTTCACAACGTCAGCCGCTTGAAACAGCAACGCGGAACGGACAAATTGTGCTTTATTTATGTACACAAGCGGTCAGTTCAGACAGCCCAGCTTACAGAATATATATTTCTACAGCTATTTTTCCTTTTGATTTTGTAGAACAATGTAATTCATGGAAGAATTCACTTGTTTTGAAGTATAAACATTTATGAACTTTATTTAATATATTACGCCTCGAAATAAAGAGTAGTTCAACGAAAAAGACTTTAAACCAAAAATCATAATTAACCTCATTCGAAACTTTACAGAGGTAAATATGAATTGGTTTTAACTGAATAAACTTGATATAACAATATACATATATATTTTATTTGTTCTTAATTGAGCCTCAGGTGTATTGCAGTAAAAACGTGAGGAAACAGGAGCGGGACAAATGAGCGGTGTGTGTAGTTCCCGGTTTTTTGACCCCCACCTCCCCCTCCCACTCTTCCCCCTCCCCCGGCCCCCTCCCGGTTTTATTATAACCCATTTATACAACAATGTGATACGAGCATTATAATGCAGCAATAATTATATTTATGACTTTTTTATTACCGCATTTGGCTAGCTTTCGACATTATATTAAACTCCTAATCAGTTCCAATTAATGGATTTTTTTTTTATGGGGAATTAAAGAAAAGTAATATTTTTAACAAGTTTTGTTTGAATATGTTTTATAGGCAATTCAAACGATAATCATAAAAATATGTAGTAAATAACTATTTAAAATTGATCCCACAAAGCGAATGCCAACAAACGTCGCAACTCAACTACTATACTAAATATTAGAATAGATAATAACAGTCTTTACGTATAAACAATCAATATTAATAAAAAGAGGAAACACAAAGAGCTGCGGCCTCTCATGTAACAGTGTTTCATACCCGTTAAACAAGAATAACGTAATGGCTGAGTTTTCGTGTGCACATTTCTCTTCCGACATTTTATGGACCATAACCTTCAAGTACTATTCGCACGAGGGTCAAAAATAATGTTTTAATACAATGTGACGACGGATATTTCCTTTTGTAACTTTCATAGAACCCTTGTGGTTTTATACCAATTACATGCTTGATGTTAAAAGCATTTTCGACCAACGAGTGCGTTAGATTTTCTAATGATTATGGACCTGACCAAGGAAATAGTAAGAATTCTGTCAATAAGGACCCGTATAAGATTTCGGTTACAAACTATGTTTTACTCTTGGCGAAGTCTGTGCTAGAAAGATACATTATCATTGCATAAATATAATAAATGTTGATTTATATGTATTTCATTCTTAAAATATGAAATATCGTAATATTTATTTCAGAGGAAGCGATCTTTTTAAGTGCTATTTTATTCCATATATATGTAGAAGTCTATAAAACTTATATAAGGTATAAATATAAAAGCAGTATTAATTTCTAACGTGGCGTAAAATATTGCGATAAGTCCCACACTCTCCGTAAACACAATATAAAACAGTATACATCTAGGTAACATGTGTCTGAACTCGCAATTCTTATGACAACCTTAAAATAATGTTCTATAATAAAGAATCATTTCTAGGAACTACATACATTCAGTATTACTGTCCAATTTTGGAAACACTATTCGGACTGTTATATTTTAGATCTCTTATCAGTAAATAAGTTAAAATTTTTGTGGGATGTTTTTATAGAGCCATGGTATGGATTCTGTGAAGGCTGATAATGTTAATAAGTATAACAATACTCACGTGATAGTGGGTGGTGGGTTGGAATGTACGAGACACGGCAATATAGCATCTCCACCTCGGCGAGCGCTCGCCTCCCACACGCCGGGCCACAGCGGACGTGGTGCTGATGATGAGCTCATCGCTGTGTAATAATATTATTATTGGCACTTTGATGAAACATTGTTCATATTGATGGAATCAAGTTCGATGAATTCTTCGATTTGTTGTTACTATGTGGAAGCTATGGTAACATTTTAAAACTGGGATATTATTCTTAGAGGCTAGAAATTAAAGATTGAAAAGTTCTAACTTACAGTGATTCACATGTCAATATATACAGAGTAAGTAACAATCATTTAAGATATTATAGATATATGATACTAACGTGAAACATCAATACTGATTGGACTACTCCTCCTTCTCTCTCCCGTGAGGGTGTCAAGTACTGAACAGGAGTACTGTGCTCGCGAGTCCTCCACTCGAACAGATCTAACTATCAGCTTCCAACCCTCATCGACAAGAAGAGTTGGGCCAGCTGCAAAAATATAAAAGTATTCCTTTAAACATAATATTAGTGTATTATAATACCGAAAAAACACGATTATTTCTTTTCAAAGAGATTGAAGCATTGAGACCCACAAATGTTCTCATAGCTTTTTCCTTTTAAATTAAGCATAATTTTTCTTGACTGTCTCATAAAGCAAGAAAATAAAATTAGAATTAAGACATGTATTTCGAATTCAATTAAGCAGATCCAGAGGAAATTTGTTTGAATTAAGAATAAAACGTAATCAAATAAAGGTAATTCGGAGCGGAAGTCGGAAAAGCGGTTTGCTGGAAATCTGGGAAGAGTGCCAAATTTAGGTAACGTTAAAACTAAATACAATTTTGGGCGACTTGTTCCAGACAATATTGATAAAAGGAACCTGGGGAGACGTTTGAAATACAAATGTTTATTATTATTGTATAACGAGGTTTATTTTACCTTGATTAATTTTTACTAATTACTACTTTTTCTATGTATTAATTTTCCTGCTTTGAAATCATTTGTACAAATGATTTAGTTTTCGATTGAGTAAAAATAAGAATTTTGATGTTTAAATTTGCTGGTTGTCAAGTAATTAATTAAAGTTGTCTAAACTAACTTTATTTACTCTTGAAGGATTTTTCTTCTCTCAGTTTTGTTTTTTGCGAACTCTTTTAAGTCCATAAGAAGAAACTTGTTCTATGATGCTTCTTACTCGTTAGTGAATCAGTTTTATAATATAAATTTTTATTCATACGGCACCATTTATATGTACTTCTTTAGCTTTTGTATGTAAAACAATTCCTTCGTCGTGAGAGAGGCCGGTGTCGTAAAAATATTTTATCTTGATTTTGTTCCCTCCGTTGAACGTTGAGGTTCATATAGACTCAGTATTATTCAAATATAAATATGTATACAATACTCAAGACGGCCCTGGAGATATGTTTTGACGTGTGAAGAAAAAAGTTTTGTCATACTATATAAAATTTTATGAATTAATAATTATTTAATTCTAACTAGTAGTCAAAGTTTCTGTTTTAATTACTCAAATTAAATAACAATGAACCAAATTGCTTGCATAGGGATTATATAAACTATAATGTCCTTTTCCTTACTAAGGTTTTTCTCGATATTTATAATATAATTGTTAATAACTTACAAATATGATCGGTGGTCGAAAGTACAGCATCTTCGCGGTACCAGGCTGCGACTGAAGCGTGTTCTCTCACTGCTGTTGGCGTGGTACAAGTCATGAGCGCCGGCCCTCCAACCTCCGCCGGAGTAGACGTCACTAGGACCTGCCAGTCTTGCCAAACCACTGTTGGAAATATTTAATATAAACCTTAGTAGTAACTAGGGCATAAGTTTATTATTCTATATTATGAGAACTAAGTTTTTCTGTGCTAAATAAGTTATTGGATTCCTTTTCCTTTTGTATAAATTGTTTTGGTGTTCCATATAACATTGAAAGATAATATACAAGAATATAAAGTATCTTTTATTTATGACAAATTTAAGATAAAGACATTATAAATGAATGAATATGAAATATTTAAATTTTGAGATGAAATATTCAAAACCAGAACGAGACACATAGAAAGGAGGAATCTCACAGGTATTATTTTAACATAGTTATATATAATTCAAAGTTGATTCACTCATGATATATTCAAATGAAGACGTTTCGCGTATGGATTAAATTCAGGAACCTTTTGTTAATGAACTGACAGGACACTATATTATATAAATAATATAAATAATATCTGGTTTTAAATTCACAGGTTAAATTAAAATAATATTCTGATAAATGGATAGTATTACAATATAACATAATCACGAGCAAGTGATAAAACAAATATATATCACACATAATAAAATGTTTGAAACAAGCGATGTTATAAATTCAATTAAGTTCTATTAATGCACATTACAAATAATTGAACATTTCATTTAAAATTGAATCACAGTGATTGAATAAACTTTATTCTCGAATGGAAAGTAAACTTTAATCATGTTTGTTTAAAACAGTGACCAATGTTAATATTAATGTTTGCTTTCTGGTTTCGATTGACACTATTGTCCTTGACGCCGGGAAAGGTAATTAAAGATTGCGTGTAAAAAACGTTTAAATGCTTTTTTTATTCTACATTGTAATTACAGATATTTTCATGATGAAATCTTTAATGTATTTTACGAATGGCATTTATTTGGTATGTACTTATTTTATGTTTCAATTTTCTCTCGTGGGTACTCGGTTTAATATTCCTATAAAATTTTCTCTCATATAGGTATATTCGGTTTGATATTCCTATTATGTTTTCAGAATAAAAAGTTGTACTGATCTATCATTGTATTTAATAACTTGACAGCGTGTGGATGTGTTGCTTAGGTTTTTCTATTTTTATAGATACTCGTACATATGTCAGATGTTTTTAATAGATCTGTGACAATTGTGAAAACCATTTCTATAGTTTTTTAGAGGAGAATTTATGATTTGTGACAATTACAACTATCACATTTAAAATATTATCCTGAAAATTCTAAATGGGAAAGGAAGAAATTTGTAATAATGATAATGTTTTTAATATAATAGAAATGTAGAAGGAGTGTAAATTATTCAATATAGTGTGAAACGTGAATCCATTTATATCAGTTATACATTTTCTAGTGAAACTAATTACATTCTGTTATTTTGTTCATATAAATATTTGCGTTATTTAAAATTCTTGCACGATTTTTATTTATAAAATACTTCTATTACTTGCTTTTCCTTAATTAATTATAAATAATCCCTCTCGCTTTTGATAGAATAACAAATATATGAACAATAGAAGAAAAGTTACAAGTTTTCATAAAGTAAAGAGTCGTTTCTTTTGTACTACTAAGAATTTGAAATTAGTTTCGATACTTTAAATTTCTTATTTGAATTATTAGGTAAATGTTTATATTTTTTAAGTTTATAATATCACAAAAAACCTTTTTATTACAGAAGAACCACAAAGAAAAATATTAAATGACCAAAAACGATTTAAAATAATTGTATTCCTTTATAAGAATTGAGTTGTAAGTAATTATTTTGATGACGAAGCTATTTTAGATGAAAAGAACTTCAGAAGAACGACAATAAGTAAAAAAAAACCTTTTTTATGATAAATTCTTTTGGAAATCATATTCTGTTATTATACATACTATCTGGTTATATGATAATGATTCATTTGGTACAATTAGAATCTGTGTTTGTGACGCTATGAAAAATATCTTTATATGAAAAAATCCTATTACGTAAAAAGAAAATTTTTATTTATTTAATTAATTGTGATTTCATCAAATACCCTTGGGAAACTTTTTAAGATATCTCTTGAGTTTATTAAAAAAAGTTAATATAAGCAAACTTTGAAATTAAATTTAAGAAAAAATCTCATTTTTTCATATTTTTTATTAACATTAATAATAAAACTCAAGAGTTCATAATTAAAAAAAAACTTTAATATTTATTAAAGGGTTTTGATAACTTGTTTTTTTTTACAATATATAAATCATAAAGAAATGTAAAATTTATTAAAATAATTTTAGTTTATACTAGTTTCTGTAAGAACTCTAATTTAATAATAAAACATACATGTATAGCATACGAAAGATGAGTATATAATTGTTCAATTAAAAGTACTAAAATGTCAACCATCATATTATTACTTGAACGACCTTGTTTAGTATTGAAATTTTCAACGTGTATTTAATAACTAATAACATGATATCAATTTTAATAATTTGATGTAATGATAAACGTTTATTTATGTCATCTGTTACATTTTATTACATTTTAGATTTTTGCGTGCACACATTTAAATGGAACTAAGTTTTTGAATACTTCGGATAAAAAGCGTAGTAATCCGAAATAAAAGAATTATTTATCTGTTACTTTATTGATGATGAATACAAAAATAATAACTCTTCTTATTACTAAATATATTTAAAAATATAATAAATTTTATGACCAAAATCGTTGATCCCTCAAAAAGGGATCACTCACTGTGATCGAATGATTAAAGAAGCTATGGCAATATTTACAATATGTTAATCCTGTTACTAAGCTTTCAAAATTATAAATTAATTAAAAAATATATTTAAAATTTTGAAAATTTCAATGATTCTAGAATTACGATGGTGTAAATTTCAAGTGTATAATAATAAATTTTGTAAAAATGTTATTTCAAAATTATATTGAAAGTTAAGAGAAGTAAAAGTAAAAACCTGATAAAAGATGAAAGAAAATATTAATTTATATTGCAATTATTGGAATAGTGATATATTTATACTTTCTACATAGTTCACAATTTTGTTTAATTTGATTAAAATTACCTGTGCAACCTATGGAAAGAATATATATATATATATATATATATATATATATATATATATATATATATATATATATATATATATATATACTGGGAATAAAAGGACTGACGAAGAAATACTTAAATAATAGATTTTATTTACATTTACTGGGAATAAAGCTTACTACATATTTGGATATTTTTATCATATTTTTAATGTAAGTATCATTTAATGCAAATGTTTGTGTGATGCTATCAAAACAGGAAAAGAACTGTTGAGATATTCGAAGAACAGATACCCAACGTGTGTATATATTAAACTGTACAAATTATTATCAGATATAGATCTTACCATAAAAAGCAGATGCAGACTAAACTTAGTGCTAATTTATTGGAAATTAATGAAGCTTAAGAACACTAATATTTCATTATAATAACTACATAGCATGCTTTAATTAAATACTGCGCGTCTTTTTTAAGATCTCTCAATTTTTCATTTATGTTCAAGGCTGTTTGAATGGAAAAGATTCAGAGCATGTACGCAATGTTAAAAACTAGGAGCGAAAACTTTTGTGATACACATTTCTGTTACAAAAACGAAGGTCGATATTAAAACGACTGAAAACCAACATCGTTAACGAGTAACAAAAACATTTTTCTGTATTCAAGTTTTGCAACACAATGTATAACGGATTTTCAGTCTGTCAGCTCACATTTCGTATTCCTGCTGATATTGTTACAGTTCCATATTCATATTCCATAAATATTACATACATATTTTATTTTTAACTTTATTTATATTATACTGTAACATTCGTTCGATTTATATTTAAGAATTTGATTAATATGAAACTAAAATTTGTTTTTTAAATTAAATTTTGTTTCTGCTTTTAATTTTTTTATACTGTTCTTAACAAAAATGTAAAAATTAGTATTTTCTTTAAAATTATAAAAAAATGATCTACTTATGTTATTTTTTTTTTAATCAAAATAATATTTTGTCAAATCAATTTACTTTGAGATATTTCATAAGTCAGGTGTCGAAAGTTAAAGAAAGTTTTAAATGATGTTATTTTGATAGAAACAACTCATTTCATATTAAATTAGTTTCGATATTACAAGAGGTTTTTATCTTCCTTTTTAGATGTAGAATAAATAACTTATTTAGAAATTAAGCCCTTTTTTTGGTCAACTTAATGAATATATTGTTAAAGCTTGCGTGAAAGAAATCGTTATTTTAATAAAGCCATGTTTAATACATACGTACTATATAATAAGAAAGATTACAATAAAAACATTTTTTTGGCAAAATGGAATGGTTTGAATTAATGCAATATTTTTTTGGTGTTGAGTTCTTTCAATTAATTTTTCGTATGGTTTCAAACAAAAGTAGACAGGTTTTTATTATAATAGAGAATTCATATAATATGCAAACCATAAAAATTTCAGATTATTCGATTATATTATATGAAATATAATTACGGTGAAGCTTTATTCTTCTTATAAATATAACTCTGAGACTTCATAATGGATGAGAATTTAATATTTTTTTAGAGTGTAGGCTTTTTTTAATAAATCATTATTTTCAGTACTGTGATTTTTTAATAATAATAAGTATTGATATGTTATTAAATGAAGACAATAGTTGTACGAAAGCAACATCAGATTCATTATAATTATATAAGTTAATGAGAAATCGTACTAATTAATATAACAAAAGATAAATAATTTTTGATCCAACATTTTGTTAGTCCCGAGCGGTTTTAGTAAACGCTTTCACAGCTTATGACGTTATTTTTGTCCCTTTTATGAATTGATATCGGCTTCTACACACATAAATTACGGATCATAAAAATTTATAATCTAGAAATAATCGTGAATATTGCGATAATTGGCAATTATTTATCACCATAACAATACTTAAACATTATTTTCATAAATAATATTGAACAATTAATTTTGTTTCATGTTTTTAAGTAAT